CGCAGGAGGCCCGGGTTCGATTCCCGGCGTCGGAATACTTTTTTTTCCTACTATGAGATAAATCTTATAAGATGTTTCTATTTAATATGATTGATAAAACAATCGTTAAAACTATTTGTTAAAATATTGTTATTTGTATATTAGGTGAAGGTGAATTAGACATGGTAGATTTATTCGTTCTAGTTGAATGAATCGAAAAGAAGAAAGAAAAAAATAGATACTACCTTGAGTGTCTCCTTCGTTTTTCTTGTATATTTATTTGTTTGTTACTCATACTCGTGTATAGAATATAGTGTCAAATAACAATGTACGATAACTTCCAACAACCACCTCCTTATGAACCTCTATCAAGTAATTTTTATACACAACCTGTGTATTCTAATCAATATGAACAAGCTCCATATATTGATAATACATATATGAATCAACAATATCAACCGACGTATCAAGCAGTTTCTCAGCAACCAACTCCGGTATATCAATCAGTACCTGAACAACAACCACCTACTTATGCAATGGCTGTTCAATCACCCGCACCCTCAGCACCTGTGATGCAACAGCCTACAAATAATAATTCGAGTAAAAATCTAATTTTTTTTTATTACATCAGTCATTATTGTTTATTTTTTAAGTTGCATCAGGAAATAGTTCAAGACCACAAGGAACACCATTTTCTAAAGGTTATAAATGGCCACGTAAATCAATAGGCCTTGTTTGTCCACAATGTGGTGCAACAATAACAACACGTGTAGAAACGTCAATTACGGTTATTACTATTATTGGAGCAGTTATATTATGTATATTTACTTGTATTTTAACTTGTTTACCATTTTGTATTCCAGCGTGCAAAAGATCTACTCATTATTGTCCTTATTGTAATAGTGTTTTAGGTATACGAAGTCCACTTCGATAATAAATATAACACTTAATTTATCACATTTGATTTTTTGATTTTTTACAAAAAAAAAATTAATACATCCTCTGGAATGAGTAGTTATGATTATAAAAAAAATATATAAATAATTGTACTGAAATAGATTTCGATTGAGATTAATTATCAAAATCATCAACATTAATTCGCATTGTATTTTGTGGTGATCTTCGACGTCCACTACTTCCATTTTGTTGATTACGATCATTATCAGTTCGATTTTTTTCACGATTCATTCGTTTTTGTTCTTTTTCAACATCAATGTCTTTTCGTTTTATTTGATCAAACTCTGTTTCGAAATCTTCACTTGTTAAATTTTCACCTTCAAGTACACCAATAACAGTAAAATCAGTTAATTTATATGGTTCATGTTTAAGATTAACATTAGTTATTTTCGTTTTTTTAGTAGTTGCTGACGGATCAATAATCATCCATTGTCCACGATCAGAAAAATAACGGGCTAGTGTTATTTTAATTATGTCATTGTTTAACAATGATTTTAAATGAGATAAAATATGTTGTTCCAAATAATCATATTTAGCAATTGCATTATCTCTTAATGGTAAAAGTAATTCAAATTTATATTGAAAATAATTAGTAGTATTATCTTTTAAATAAACAATATTAAGGAGTAAATCTTTTTTTGATAAATATTCTGGATGTGGTAAAATTTCAAAAGCATATGAACATAAATCGCGTACTTTTGCTTGTCTAAATAAAGGCAAAAACAAAATATCTACATTTTTAATTTCTATTTGAAAAAAAGATTTTCTCACTTGAGAGTGGTTAATACAGGCTCATGGACGATTGTTGTTGGTTGATTATCATCAATATCATAAAGGCGAATGAATTCTAATGGCTGAGTATCACTTGTATAATTCGATGGAACTTTGAAATCAATTAATTTAGCTATACGTTCACGAAGAGCATTAAATGAAGAGGTAATTGGTAATTCAAAACGTTGTGTCAATTCAATTATTTCAAATTTTGGTCGAGTATGGACTAAAAAGTAAAGAATATACTTGTATACTGAGTCTTCAAAGATATCGATAATGTTTAAATAGCATAGATGAAAATCTGAATAATACATTAATTATTCGACTGGAGAATTTTATTTTCTACAAAAAATGTGTTAAGTTCAATGCTCTTCAAAGGAATCATCAACTATTAAGATACAAGCATAGTGCATTCTTTAAGATTTCTGTTGATCGTAACCGAACTGAAAAAGTTTGATTTATGTTAGTTATTGTCTTAGGAGATATTAGGAAATATTAAAAAGGCATTTTTCAAATAAAATTTCTTCATACTCGCTTCATTTGGTTTGTAATATTGATTAATAATTTTAAAAATTTTCAATCGAATATGATTTCTTGGTGCAATACTACCAGATCGTATAGTTAGTTGAGCACCATTCGTAAGTCCATTAACTAAAAGTGTTTGATCAAAATCATTCAATGGTGAACCATCATTAATCAATGTTGATTTCATTTCACATAAATGATATTCATTATCATTCTCTAGTAAAAGTAAAAAACGAAACATCATTTCTATTATGACAAAATTGAACTATTTTCTATTTTACCATCCATATTTAATTTTTGTTTTATTAAATTCCATAAATCAGTTAATGTCATACTGTAATCAACAATAAGTTCCAATAAGTTAGGTTCTCGATCAGATTGAACACAAATCATAAGATCATTTTCTTTAAGTGCTTGACCAGATTTTAAACAGAGATTTGTATTATTTTCTCTAAAGTTTATTGTATCTACTGTTTGATGATCATATACTAAAATTAAAAAAAGAAAATAATAAATTTCTTTTTGATATAAAAATGAAACATACGAGGAATATCTGCTAGATCAGAATCATCATCAATATATAATCGACACATAGATGGATCTAATGATAAACCAAATGCTTGAATTGCCATTAATTTAACCTCTCCAATGAGCTAGAAAGACAAAAGCCAACTTCATTGTCAAAAATGAACTTTTTTTTTCTCAAAAACATACTGTTGTATTCCAACAACTACATGTCATTGGTTTTGTATTTATTGTATCAATATTATTTTTAATAGTTAACGACAAATGATTTTTTCCTGTATTTGCAATATTTGATGAAGCATCTTTCCAACTTGGTACACTAGAATATAAATTAAATAAATAAGAAAATATTTTTTGAATAGAATACAACTTACAATGAATTTTTATTATCAATACCTAATGTATCACCATCATGTAAATATAATTGTGCTAATGTTTGTTTTTCTTCATCAATTTTATATTCTCGACGTGATTTACGATTATTTTTTTCTTCTAAATTTAATTTACCCATACGAACTTGTCTTAAAATTTGTGGATCATCATATTGATAAAAATCACGAAATAGAATTTCTTTTAATTCAAATAATGTTGTATTTTTTGATACATGTCGAATAGTTTGTAAACGTGATGCATGAATATGTGCATCAGGAAAACCATAGACTATATTTAACATAATTGGTTCAAATTCTTCACCTTGTATAACTGTATCAGGTAATATCGATGGATATTTGAATACAATTATATTAGGATTATTAGAAAGATCATTTTTATCTAATGTTATATTATCATCTGATACATTTTTTAATTCACTAATTATATGTAATTGACCAGAACGAAGTTTTTTAGCAATATAAAAATGACTGTCTTTACCATAAATATCCTAAATATAAAGAAATATAAGAAGAAAAGAATTTTTAAAGTATCATTACCTTAAGATTCGAAATAAATTCATTAGTTTTTGTTCGTTTATCAAATTTATGTTCACCATATTGATCAGGAAAAAGTACTTGATTATTACTATTCAAATTTAATCGACAATTATCAATGACTTCAAACCATTCACTTGGATAAATTATTACTGATAATTGATTTTGATGTTTTTCATATATTTCACTATAGACAAGAAACAAAAAAAATTAGAATCACTTTTGTATGTTCATTCTATTTAAAAATCTACCGTTTTTCTTCTAAAATTTTATTTTTTTCTGAAATTTCCTCAATTAACCATTGTGGTACAGAATATAAAGTATTCGAACAATCCATTGTTGATTCATTTTTGTTTCTGTTATTTTTTAATCTATAAAATAACATGTATGCACAATCACTTAAACCATAATGTCTTTGAATATGTTGTTGTGTTACACATGTTACATTTGAATCATCAAAACAAAACCAATGTTCATTTTCTTGACTATTGATATCTGTTTTATCAATTTGTGATGATTCATAATCCATTTGATTTTCATCAATATCCATTTGTTCAATTAATCGAACACGTTTATCATCAATATGAAATATATCTGGATGATTACGAAGAAACTATAATCAAATCATTTATGATTATTATCAACTGAAAAAAAATATTTTACTTTTGTAAATGTGCCATTCGAATTACGAGTTCGACTCCACGGAACTGTTGTATTTTCACGATAAGTCTTTTAAGAATAGAATAAAATTTTATATTATATTAATTAATTGAAAATACTAACTTTTAATAAATCATCAATAGTAAACCAATCATCACATGATAATAATATTGTTTTAATCAGCTCAATTTTTTTACTTATTTCTTCATCAGTTTCAGTCGAATCATTTTTTGTTGGATTTCGATTATTATTAGAATTAGTATTTGATGGTTTCTGTTTATTTGATGATTTTGCCTGAAATATAGCATATAATAAACAATATATATATATTTGAACGTAAATATCATACTGCAGATGAAGGTGGCGGAGGTGGACGTATCCATGTACCAATATGATCAATATCTTTGATATAACCATAGTAATGTCCTGAATAACATGTACCTTTATGAATAACAACAGCAAATAATTCATAATTTGTATCAATCACAGAATCCTAATAAAGAAAATAAATCTATCATATAATAGTTAAAATATTTTTCAAATATACTTCACAAAATTCTTTTAAATCAATATCAAATGGAAATTCATAACGTGTTGTTTTCTTCAAACGATTACCGGTTTTTATATCATAAATAAATCGTTGTAATGGTAGTGTTAAAATTGGTGGTAATTTACTAATTTTTGCCCACTAAAATATTGAAGAAATTAATCATATATATTATTTCTCTTTTTATTTACTTTATCAGCATCACATAATCTATTGTCACAGGATGAACATCGATACTGATTATCACCAGTTAACTGTTCACGATAAGTAAACATATTTGCTAGAGATGTATGTAAATTTGGACTATCTTGTACAACTAATGGTAAATCTTGATAATCTTCCTTACAATAAAAGAAGTAAAAATAAAACAAACTTCTATAGATTTTAAATATTATTTACTATTCGTTTAAAAATTTTCTGGCATTGTTTGCATTGCGTATAATTAATAGTGGAACCTTCATAACAAGAACGTATTAAATTTGATTGTTTTGTACCTTGTAAAGATTTTTGAATCGCATCAAATAATAAACGATTAAGTTCATGAACATCTTGATGATCAATTGTCTATTTTTGGGATAAAATAAAAATGTAATTTTATGAATAAATGACAAAAAAACAAACTTCATTGGATTGCCAACCGAAACTATCAGTTAATCGAATAGATGAACATGCTTGTTGGTTAAGTAGAAGCATTTCAGCAAAAAGCTTTTGTAATTCAACAATAATTTTACGAACCTATTATAACGACTGAATATAAATAGGAGAAAAAGAAAATAATATATTACTTTTAAAGTACTTCCACTTGATGAAGTTTGACTTGAATCATTAGGATTTGATAGAAGATTAAGATCTTTAGCAGTTAAACTGAAAAGAGGTTCTAAAGTAAAATATTACAAATGATTTCTATAGTTCATACTGAATGACATAAATTTCAAAGAAAAAAAAATATATCTAGGCAACAGTATTTATAAGGATGCATTTCTTTGAGAATAAAATTCTAATATTTCTCCTCTTCAATGCTTACCACGAAAATCTGGTGTGAAAAGTAGTGTCTGAATGAGAGCATTAAGATAACTAAAAATAATTCATTTTTTATTGGAAATACTTTGAAAATTCTTAATTTTACCAAGTTGCTCCTTGATTTTGTAAACCACATAAATCTGTTTCATTTCTTGGTGATATTGGTTTCTCAATTATTGATTTTGAACTAGTATTGCTTGGAAAATAAGAAACTAGATACAAAATAAAAATCTCTCAATATTACATGAATATTATTAAATATTTCACTTACAATCTCCATCTTCACGATCTTCATCGAATAGATCTTGTAACATACTATTATCAATCTGAAAAAAACAAAGTTCCAAAATCACACAAAACTAGCAAGTCATCCTAATAAATGTATTGCAAAAAAAAGATCACCGGTGGTATATTCTACTTAATAATGAAAGACAGAAAAAAAAGACTTAATGATCACCAGCTTCTTTATTTGCTTCGAGAAATTTTTCATATTGCTTTTCATTCATTAATGTTGATGGTATATTCTTCTTATTTTTATCATCAATTATTGCTTGAATAAGCCAACCATTCTCATATGAACTTTTATTAATTAAATCAGCTTCATCTTTTAATTTCTCATTCACAGTTGATACTTCACCATCAATTGGCATATAACAATCCGAAACAGCTTTAACTGATTCTAATGTTGCAAATGTATCATCACATTTAAATTTTGTACCAATTGCTGGTAATTCACAATAGACAACATCACCAAGAGCACGTTGAGCATAATCACTTATACCAATACGAATTTCATTTTGTTTTTTATTTGTATCAATAATTTGTACCCATTCATGTTTCTTAGTAAAATAACGTTCTTGATAAAGACATTTTGTTAAATGAAGTTGACGTATTGGTTGAAATTGAAGAGTACGTCGAAATAGGAATGCTGATATAGCTGACATTGGAAATAATGTTAATATCTAAGTTAAATCAATAGGTTAGTAGTGGATTTTATTTTAATCGTATACGTGTAAGAAAGATACTCGACATTGATTCGTTATTGATGTTAACCAATGATTTATCAAGATGAGTCATTTCATATAGGGAGAAGAGACTTAACTACTACTACAATTTTCTTGAGTCATTATCTTACATAAATTTCGTAATTTTTTTCGCAAGTACATATGTTTGCTTTCAAGCGAGAAAATAGAGTTCTGAATTGACATATAAATATCTATTGAATAATTATTTTTACATATACATATTTTCTCATATATTATTCTAGTCAAGAAACTTTTTTCATGGCGTCATTTAAACAATTGAAATTATTTGTTGATAAAGAACTTGATCAATGTTTACAGAATGTTGTTCGTCCATTTACTGAACATGTTTATTTTCCTGAAACACTCATAGATCCACTTGAAATAGAGAGTATGGTTTGAATTAGTATAATAGATATTCTTTTTATTTATTCTTGTAATTTATCAGAACATCATCATGAAGTTCAATTACAGAATTTATCGATTTCTGATACACTTGCATGTGCTACTTGTCAAACTCAATTCGCTGATCGATCAGAACAGGTTTTTATTTATATACGTAAAAGAAAAGGTTGTTTTCATTTGATTAAAAACATTAGACATTACATTTTAAATCTGATTGGCATCGATTTAATCTTAAACGAAAACTTCGCAATCAACTTCCACTTTCATCTGAGAAATTTGAAGATATGGAGAGTAGGTTATTTATATAAATCTATTCTTCTTCTCATTTATATATTTATAGAGGATATATCGAGTATATCAGGAAGCGATTCATCAGATGATGATTTAAGTGATAATGAAGGTTCATCTATAGATGGTTCCTATAATGCATGTGCTAGAAATAATCCAAAAATTATTTTAACATTGAATGATGGTCGACATTTATCATTCTACAGATGTCTTTTACATGGAAAAAGAGTAATAAAATTTATTCACATTCATTTACATTATTGTCCTTTATTTAGAATATTCCTCAGGAATCTCAGGAATTAATTTTAACTGCTCAACGACTTCCATTATGTATTCATTGGGGTCTTGTCATGGCTGCTGGTGGTCATTTTGCAATAGCATTATTTGAACGAGATAAAATTATTCAACATAAAACATTTCATAAATATATCATTCGTGCTAAACAAGGCTCAGCACAATCAGCACATGATCAAAAATCTGGTGGTAAAGCTAAATCAGCAGGTGCAAATCTTCGTCGACAAAATATGCTTCATTTAAAACAAGTAAATTAAAATAAAAATCTTAAAATTCTTTCTTTAATTATTATTATAACAAAAAATATAGAAAATTCAAGAACTTTTTATTTCATTGAAAAGTGAAATTCAACGATGTTCATTATTATTTGTTCGAGCACCCAGTTTTAATCAACAATTATTATTTGGTGAGAAAAATTCACCATTAACAGCAAGTGATTCAAGGTTTGAATGAAAATTTTCTATTAATTTAATTCTCTAATTGATTTTTTTGTAGAATTCGTTCAATTCCATTTGCTACACTTCGACCAACATTTAATGAAATCAAACGTGTTTATGATCAATTAACTAAAATGGAACTTTATCGTAGGATAAACTAATTTTCCTATAGTAAATTATCTTGTTTTTGTAGCTCAAGATTATCAATTTCAAAAAATTGAGCAAGAAAAAACATCTGTAATGAAAACTAAACAACCAACTGCAACAAGAAAAACAGCTGTTGATTCATCAACGGATTCAGAAGACAAATCAGGTTTGTTAACTTTTCTTATCTGAAATCAAATTCTATTTTATTTTATTAAAACTAGATGACGAAACGGAACAACAATCATCATCGAAACAAACAGTAAAAAAACAACCTATCATACCTATTATGACTACCGATCGAAAAATATTACGTTAGTATAATCTATTTGAATGCTAAAATCTATATATTTTTTTTAATTAGCTGCAGAAGATTTAACAACATTTAATGAATTATTTACTGCTTGTCGTCTTAATGATATTCAACGATTTGATGATCTTATTTCTCGATTACGTGCTTTAAAAACTATTAATAAATCTCCATCAATTGCAGATATACTTAATTATCAAACAGCAGGAAGTTTTGATACACTTTTACATATAACTAGTGAACGTGGACATTTAAAATTAATTCAACGTTTATTAAATGAAGGTGCTAATCCAGCATTATCAAATCAACGAGGAAAATATCCATATAATTTAAGTAAAAATAAAGAAGCAAAAGAAGTTTTTCGTTTATTTCGAAATGATTATCCAGATAAATATGATTATAATCTTGGACAAGTTGCACCAAGTATAACTATGGATGAATTAGAACGACAACATGCTATTGAACGTGAACGTCGTCGTCAAACGAAAAAAAGACGAACTGATAAACAACGTAGTGATCAAGAGAGACAATTACGTGAACAAGAAGAAGAACAACAACGAATTAATTTTCTTGCATTATCCGAAAAAGAAAAACGTACATTAGCTGTACAAGTTAATTTTGAAACAAACAAACGTGATGAATTACATTTAGGACGTTGTTGGCAATGTGCAAAAAAGATTTCTGATGAACCATTTACATATTTTGATTATAAATTTTGTTCAACAGCTTGTCTAAAAGCACATAGGACTAAATCGAAAACAACTGTTTAATTTGTTTTTTTTCCGAAATATATTTATACAAAAAAAAACCAATTCTATGACATATCATTTTAATTGCATAATCATTACTAGGAACACATACTGAGATCTATATTATATTGTTCAGCTATTTTCGATCTACACTATCACATCTATCAATAGATACGTACTTAGAAAATGCTTCATTTAATTTATAATATAAATGCGCTTTCAGACGTTTCTTTTTGATCATGTCAAAAAATAATAGTAAAATAAAATATGAATACATCATTTATATAAAAAAATGATTAATAGTGACATTGTCAGAGAATTACAAAAATAATAGTTCTGTTTCCATTTTTGTTATAACGAAACAGTAAGTTGTCGAGATTACCTGATACTCCAAATAAACATTTCAATATTAGAATTCACAAAAGTTTTCGAAGCGCTATAATTCATACTCACTATTTGCGTAAATAATATAAATGAAACCATTTCGTAGTTCGTAAAAAATCCAATTAAATTCACACATAAAGGTATAGAGATATTGAAAAAAAATGTGAGAAGGTGAGAGCAAAGCACATGTGTAAGATTCGTCCATTAGTAAAAAGAATTACTCAACAACTGGTGTTTTTTATTAAAATTATTTTATTAAATCAGACAAAACAAGTTTTTGCATATAGAAAATAAAAAACCATACTGTTCTTTTTTGATTTGGCATAAGTGCATTTATGATTGAATAGAACTTTTTATTTTTATTAAATACATGATTGCTTTCAGAATATCAAAGGCCATATTTTATATTCAAATAAGTAAATATATGAATTTTATTACGACTATTTTCACGAGTGAATATCAGTTCTAATTATTAAATATATTTTTGATATTTTAATTGAGAAACATAAGATCACTATTCTGATTACAGATTTAATGTAAATCTTTACTTTTATGAAATCGCGTATGCCACTTTTTGTAGACGACCTATCTATTATATATAATATTGTTGCAGTATCATATTCAAAAAATGTTTCAGATATTTACATTTTAAAACAATTAGAAAGATATGTATTCTCTTCCTAGTATCTTTCTATAAATGCATGCGAAAGGATAGTAAATGATTGATTAGAATGTTTAACAGAGCATAAGATTCGGAAATAGATTTTTTAACTGTTTTTAATGGTTCATTGTCAAGAAAACAGGTATTTCAGGCAAACATTTTTTTTCTATATACTACTTTCCTGTTTCGAGATATTTGTTATACGATATGTAACAACAAATATTGCGGTGAAGTAGAATAGTAATTGAGTATTTTCCTATGTTAGCTTTTACGATGTCATATTGTTAACATACCCGTTATTTCTCTCTATACTAAAGGTATGACAGACTTTGCATCTTATGATGAATTCAAACATGTATTTTTTTATTAACTATCAGAAATTTTTATTTTTCATTACTAGATATTAATAGTTATTTATGGTTTCATTGACATTTTGTAGAAAGTAATAAACTATTTGATGAAGATACGAACGAAAAATATAGAATGGTTTCATTTATTGATTTTTAATTCTTGATTAATATAGTTATGAATTAAAATTCAATCAGAGTTTAGAAGCATATTAGTTACTTTTTTTTTAATCATGGTATCATATTTCACTTTTCTGCTAGTCATTTATGTAT